CTTCTTCTCCTCCTCTCTCTCTCTCTCTCTCTCTCTCTCTCTCTCTCTCTTGCATTCTGTTTTTCTCTCATTATCTCTTTATTTCTCTCAAATGGTGTCCACAGTAAACGATCGATGAAAAACGAGTCGTATATAAATATTACTTCAGCGGAATAATCATGTGACGACTAGCTGCTATAATATAAACACGATTCATATCGTGGCAAAAATTTTTCCTCAACGAGAATGAAGAGAAGATGCTCGTAGACAAATAGATAATAATGCATGGCATGATTATTGGTGTATATTATATTCTTTTCTGTCGAAAAGTTCTTTTTTTTTTTTTGTATGTGCTAAAAGAGGCAGAATGGTGGAGAAGAGGGGCGTGGTGTAAAAGAGGATCGGGGAACATTTATAAAGAGTATATAGCAACACTATATGTACAAAATAATTCTGGCAAAAATGATGTTTTTTTCAATACTAATAATAATTATCGAGAGCAATCTTTACACCCGCCTTCTCCGCTAAACCGGATAATAAAGCCATCTTAGGGAACACACACATATACGTATATATTATATATCGTCACCCTCATATCTCAATATGTCAGTTATGTATTTGATGATTGGAGAGAAGAAAAAAAAAAAAAAAGAAAGAAAGAAAGAAAGAAAAAAAAAAGAAAAAAAAATCTTTCTTGTGTAAAAATTTATGATGGTATAATGACGATACCGATGAGAGTTGTGATGTGTGTGAGTGTACGCGTATGTCTATATGTATTTATATATGATATCTGTTAATGTAATATATTGTAATTTTTTTCAATATATTATATCTGTTTGTTTTTCTCTTATGCTCCCTCTCTTTTTATCGATTGAACGGCAGGATTCACCGTATTTTCTTTGTATATTACCCTTTCCATTTCCATTCTCTTCAGAAGTTCGATCACAAAATAAATCGCAAAATCTGCCATCTGTTTTTTATATATTTATCTTCCTTACTTTTTTTTTCTTTTTGGTCACTCTTCTAAACCATCTTTCTTCTGTACATCATTGTACCGAGCGTACTCGCAAACGCACACAATCATACATGCGCATGCACACACACGTACACGCTTTCTTCCCATCTTACATACATATAATACATTCTTTCGTTTATACTATCTTTCTTACATTCTCTCTCTTTCTCTTTCGCTCTCTTTCTCTTACTCTTTCCTAATATTACTGTCTCTCTCTTACTTCATCTATCTTTTTCGCTCGAAGAAAAGCGAGCAATGAGCGACAAACCATCGCATATGAATGCATACACGACACATATATCCATCTTGAATCAATATGGAATTCAAAATTCGGCGAATTCCTTGGCGCACTTCTCCGTCAATGAAATCCTGAGTGTCTCCTCCTCATAGTCGTCGAAATTGCTTGTGTCTCCTGGCCCTTTACATTTTGGTATGAATGGGGCTTCGATTTTCTTTTGGAAGACAGCTATCCAATCGGTACTGGCGAACCACTTGTGACCCTTGATATCGTTTACACCAGCCTTCAAGTTCCCATACCTTTTAGTAAGATCAACTTGTAGCAAATTACGTAGTAAGTCTTTCAAGTCGGATCCGAAATGCGAGGGAAATCGTGGTTTTCCGCTAACGATCTTCTCATAAATTTGAATTGGTTGATCAGCAAAGAACGGTGGATAACCGGCAGCCATCTCATAGACAAGCACACCAAGCGCCCACCAATCTACAGCTTTATTATAACCTTTGCTGAGAATTATTTCAGGCGCGAGATATTCTGGCGTACCGCACAAGGTCCATGTTCTACCCTGTACCCTTTTAGCGAAACCAAAATCTGTAACTTTTAAATAGCCTTGTGAATCGATTAACAGATTTTCTGGCTTGAGGTCCCTATAGATTAAGTCGAGGTAGTGAAGGTACTCAAACGCTAATACGATTTGTGCCGCGTAAAAGCGCGAGTGTGGTTCCGAGAAACGACCAACCTTTCGTAGATGACTGAACATTTCGCCTCCCGGCACATATTCGAGGACCATGTAAAGGTAAGAATTATCCTTGAAGTGAAATCGCAAGGAGACCAAAAATGGAAAGCTAATCGCTTGCAGTATTCTTTTTTCATTAAGCGTGTGTTCGACTTGCTTAAGTTTCACGACTTTTTGCTTATCGAGTATCTTCATAGCGTAATATTCCCCAGTTGGTTTGTGTTGCACTATCATGACACGACCGAACGAGCCAGTACCGAGTGTCTTGATCCGCTCGAAATCATCGAGACCAGCAGTGTTCGTCGGGTTTCTTTTCCACTTGTCCTCGAACTCTTTCTTTGCCTTGTCAAGAAACTCCTTGACGCTCTCAGCAGCGTCAACCTTTTTGTTTGCAGTCGCGGCATTGTTGCCCATCTTAGCAGCCGCGCTTGTACCCGAGCCTGCCAGGGCTCTATACAGCTCGAGAAGTTCCAGAAGACCGCGTCTTCGTTTTCGTTTTCGTTTGTCCTCTTCCGTAGCTGAGCCTATCAAGGCCCCACCAAACTCCAGTCTTTTCGAAATTGTTACTATTTCCTATGTTTCCCTTTATTATACTCACTTTTATTGTCACCGACGGTCTTCAATAGTCTTTATCCAATACTCGTCGATGCTGGCCCTATGAGACCTGTACGTCCGAGAGGGCACTCACACTTATGCAAGAACTGGGCACACGCGCACACTGCACGATGGATACACTCGTACCGATAGCGGACTATCCCTTTCTTTTTTTTAATTCAATTCACTTAACCGCAATTTTTCACACTCGGTTCGAAACTTAGTAGTTCCTTAATTGTATGACAAAGTAAGACCGAGCGATTTCGCGCGGAAAAATGGGTCAGCATTAATCCTCGTCCGCACCTCGCGCCATCTTTCCTGTCAATCGTACTAGCCCGTCGTTGTCGTCGTCTACTAGAGCTGTCTCAGTCTTTCTTTTCTTATCCTTCTCTTTTTATTTCTACTTTGACTTGTATTCTCATGCACTACAAACGTCTTTTTCCGATGTGTTTGTCTTTCTTTGACAAATCAAAACACTAAACACTAGTTCTCAAAATAATAGGAACCGAATGACAAAATTGCAGGTCAGAAACAATAGTTTAAACAAGGGTCGATAAAGCGAGAAAACAACGTCGGTTTCGATCGCTCTCAACCCTTGAAATACTTGCGAAATGTCGTCTGCTCAACTTGCACAGTACGCACACACAAATTTTGAACGTATTAAATGAACATCACGAATAAATGTGTATCGCGTCTTCTCGCGATAGAAAATAAATTACGCGTTATCGCACTAACACACAAAATTCTTTTACTATAATCGCGGATTGATTTTAAGCTCTTAAAACGAAGCAGGCGGCGGTAGCAGAGACAGTCGGTACCGTTCCTAAAGATGGCGACGCGGCTCGCTCCACTTGTTCGTTCGGGATTTCGCACGGATGCGAAAGTGACGAAGTGCCGCTCTACGAAGCAAGAGAGCTACTGTACTGCACAGATCAGCTATTGCTTTGACTTATCGCCGGTAGATGTAGCACTAGAAAATTTAACGATACTCTTGACAAGTGCTGCCACCAAACGAAAGCATTGACGTACTTTAAATTTAAAGGAACTTCTTTTTCATTTCTAAAAATCAAGGTTTTCGTTTTGAATCGTGAAATATTTTGTACAAGTGATTATGAAAAAAGTTTTAATGTAATTCTTTGAGTTATTAAAAAAGAAATTGTGATGTATTATAAAATAATTTATTAGATTGAAATTTATTTATTTAATAAATTATTAAATAAAATTATACTTAATAGTTTGACAAAATAATTAAACAATTTTTAATTTATCATATTATTTGATCAAATTTATGATTACAAAATAAATTTGAAATTTATTTAAATTATATGAATACGATAGTTTGTTAATTCAGTCTTTATAAATTATATAAATTTGTATTATTTTTATAAATATTAAATATTACATATATATATTTTTATAATATAAATAATAATAAAAACTTGCTTTTTTTAACATGTAGAATTATTTTATTTCAATAATATTAATAAATTTTTTCTTTCTAATAATTTAAAAGAATTTAAATGTTACATGTGTAAAATCATTTTTACAATATATTTTTTTTTCTAATATTTTATTTGATTAATATACATTATAATTATTTTAATACAAATCACTCCTGCGTTAAGTTTATCATCAATTCGGTAATTTCATTGCTATTAATAATAATCGACCTGTTTTGTGGTATTGAACCGTGGTAGTACGTACACGGAAGGTTGAATACTCGCTGACCTGTGATAATCCTTTGGCGATTAGTTTCTAACTGTAGATAGGCATATAGGCACAATTTTAGAGCGGCAGATACGGTCGAGAAAGCTAGGTGGAGTCGGTGGAGGACGGGACGAACCGGTTACAATCAAGTCAAAAAGGTACGATCAGGTCAGACCTTTCAGATATATACAGAATTTTTATATAATCTTGCTAATACATTGTTAGATTAAGTAAAAGTAGCAAAATATATATCTATTGAAATTGCGTTGGAATATATTTCTTGTATTAACTTCAATTTATTTCTACCCTATAGGATGCGCGCGACCACGCGTTCTATTGATTCCATGACCCGAAGCTGAAAGTGATGTGCCAATTTGTGGAAAGAAAGTAGCAGAATCAAGATTCAGCTTATACCATCTTTTGAATATTCTTTTTAAAAATTTCTGTATGTAGAATTTCTTGATAAAGTTAAATCATTAATAATAATAAAAGAATGTATTTAATATTAAAAAACATTATTTATAAACATTGAAAATTTTATAGGTATATACATATACATACATATATCGATATATGTAACATTAATATAAAAACATAATATAAATTATTATTTTTATATATATATTATGCATATAATTTCTTAAATTTTTTATTCTTTTATATTTTTTTTATAATATGCAAAATTAATGAGATGATATATATAATAATCTATATCATAATGCTTAAGAACGCATCAAGAAAAGTGGGAATTTAGTCCAGTGAAATGAAAATTTAGATGCGTGGATGCTATCTTTAGTTTGACACTGCAAAGCCAGTGGAAATATAGGTTACTGTCATCGAAATAGCTTGTGGCTGAAACTTCCACTGACCCACTAAAACGAAATTTAATTTTACCAAGTAATGCTGTATGTCACCAATTACATAGTTATTTTTGATAATAAAATATATCTTTGAATATTAAGAAAGTTTTATATCTATATTAAATACATATTAAAATATATATATATATATATGTATATATATATATATACATATATTTCAAATAAATTTCTATTAAAAATAATTTCATTAATAAAAAGATATTGATAAATAATTTTGTTTTATATATATTTTTATATGTGCATTAAAAAAAATAAATATTTATTTGCTTCATATTATAAATAGAAATGTTATAAAAACATTAAGTATTGTATATTTTTTTTTATGGAAAGTTTCATTGAAAATCTAACTCAATCTAGCATGAATGTATCTTCAAGTGTTTTATTGTATGAAGTATATTCAAAAAGCATCTGCTTCACACGTCTTCACCTGCATTGCATTCATAGCAGCTGCTTGGTGTTATCTTCATGCTTACGTAGACTCTGGCACGTGGCACATACGGAAAAGCAAAATATATTTCTTGATAGATTAAACTAATATGTTCGCGTGATTTTTGCAAATATGAATTATTGAATATATATTAGTTTGCACAGAATTATAAAAAAATATTTTCCTCAATTTAATAAAATAAAGATATTAAAAATATTGATAAAATTACAGACTGTATTATTTTATAGTATATAATGTTTATACAATATCATACAATAAATTTTAGAATCACATACTTAATATCTACTTTTTTTTCTTATATAAAAAGAAAATAAAATTGTATACGAATATTAATATTATATTATAATTAATATAATACATATATATATAGTATATATATATATATATATATATATATATATATATATACATGTATGTATATACATACATATATATTTCATAATATATGAAAATGTAAATAATGTATATTACATAAAATTATTGAAAATTAATGTATAATCTATTGTATTTATTATCTCATCGTGAGTTAAGTCTTACTTCTAACTAAATTCTTTATAAAACCTTTAAGATTAAAATCATAATAAAATAACATTATAACAAAAAAATGATATTTTACTATTTCATAATAAAGGCAACCTGTAACATGGACGTACATAAATGCAGCAAAGCCTTTCAGACGAGTGCGTGGATCAACCTGAAAGCATCGCGCACCTTTTAATATACACCGGAAATGGAACCATACGCGAAACTTCTAGAACTTTCTGCAGTTTGTTTCCATTTATATCTTATGTATTATCTTTAGTATACATGAAATTTTATTAGAATCTAATCAATGTTATAAATCACACATAAAATTTAATTGTCATTATTTTAAAAGTGATATAACGTTAAATACATATTTCTCAACAATACATTCACCAGCGCCGGAAGCGCGGGGATTTTTTATGAGTTTCGTAAGACAAGATTCAATTGGTCAGTTGTTATTTGGAGGGGCATTAACAATGCGGTAGTGGCGAAGCTACCATTACGAATCTAAAACCACATAACCGTTGACAGCTTTAATTAAATATATTATACTTCACATATATCATATCTCTTTTTCGAAAGAAAATAGAAGTAATAACGATTTTATTAAATTAGATATTTATTAAAATTCTAATATATTTTACGAGAAATTTCGTTGAACCATGCTGTATTAATGATTAAAATATAGCGGCAAATTTATATATATATATATATGTATATATATATATATATGATGAAATTAATAAGTATTATTGGTAATATCATTTTATAGATATTTTAAAGCAAATTTTTTTTTTACGAATTATATCAACAATTTTTTATTGTTTTAAAATTATATTTATAAATAGTAAATATACATATAAGAGATTGATCAATGCGCCATCTGTAAACGAGCGGGAAAGAAAAGTGTTTGAAGGCCGCCGGCCTGCCGGCCGGGCTGAGTAACTCGGGTCTCGAGCGAATCAGTGTGCGAGTCTCTGCCATTTGCGCGTCGGTACGCGACTACGCGGCAGTAGTGATACTACAATTCTACGTCTGCTTACCGGTGCGTAGAAAACGCAAGCCTTATTAAGTGCGTTTTGTATCTAAGTGCTTTATCGATCACACGATTAAATTAATCAACATGGCGGATACAGAAACTAAGTAAGTATTACAGATTTTTTTTATTGATCTATCGTAAGAAAATCACATATTTTCACCGAATGCTTTTGTTATATTTCTTTACCGAATACAGTAACAATGGATCAACAATACAATCGTTTCATAATCTTCATTACTCATCTGTTTTAAACTCAAATTAAAACCAATATTCTTGTTTTGATAATTTTATTTGCATCATAGTTGATTGTATACTTTTGAAAGCGTACGTAGTACTTATGTACAACCACGAGAAAGGGACAACGGAGAGGGGATACTCTCTCTCTACGTGATATTCTCAGCTTGATTTGTAAGACGCGTTACGTTCTCAGGATTACCTGCTTTTACCATGACATGTGCTCTACTTGCAGAGCCGCTTTTCTGGCGGCATCGTTTACCTTTTATTTTTCCCCACTTGTAGCTTCAACTATATGAAACAGTAACCAACTATAACATGCATTTATTTGTTATTAATATTTATTTTTCATGAATATTTCAATCATGATATTTCATTATTATTTATTTAGTACTAAAACAATTTTTATTTATAAAATTTTTAATATTTTTATAAATATAACGAATAAATATAATTCAGAATATTTTATAATATAAAATTGTAATTTTTTAACAATTTGTTAACAATTTGAATATTTTTACATAAACAAGGGTGATTTTGATTATTCGTACATAAAAAATAGTAGAAATATTTTATGGATGATTGTACACGCATCTTAAAAAGAAAATGGACAACGTATCGATCTGCCCTCTCTTACCGACTAAACGTCGAAAATACTGGTATTTTACTTTTCACTTCACATTTTTAAGACAAAATATATAATGTTTGTAATAATAAACATCGGTGCTATTTAGGTTTATTTAAGTTCCAACTCTATAGGAACAAATGTATATGTAACATTGATGTATATATTACGGTCCACGAACATCCACGATTTGCCGCGCCGAAACAATCTGTATGTGTGCGTACATGTACGTGTGTTCTGTTAAAAGGAGTGGGTTGAGAGAGAAGGGAGAGACGAAAGCAGGATAATATTAACATCGGTAGGTGCCGCTACGGTTGGCGTCCTATCTCTATTTCTTTCCCTTGCCACTCCATCTTTGTCTGTAACTGTTTAACCATAGTAAAGAAAAAAATATGATAGAGATAGAACTTCATTTTAAATATATTATGTTATTTAATATTTTTTTATTTTTTTTTATATTTTTTTTTTTACAAAATATAATTTGATTTATAAAAATATAAATGTCACTGATGTTACATATTATTTTTATGCGCATATTATTAATATTTTTTAAACTTTATAAATTATGTTAATTGAAATATTGATCGATTTTAATTTATAGAGACACCAAAGTTGCTACAACTCCAGAAAAGAAAGTAGTAGAAGAAGAAAAAAAAACAGTTCAAGAAGTTGACGAAGATTCAAAAACATCTGAAAATGGAGATGCCAAAGAAACCAAAGAAAATGGCTCAAATGAAGAAAAAGAGTCAGAAAATAAAGAAGTAGAATCAGCAGAAAATGGGGATTCTACAGGTATTGATAAAAAATTAAATTAATAGATTAGATAAAATTTGTAATTTTGTGAGTAAATCATATGAATGCAAATAATTAAACTAATAATAAATAATTATTAAAAAAATATGTATTATAAATAACTAAAATCAGTAGAAAATTCAATTTATAAGAATAATATTAAATGATATATTTATTTATAGATGCATCTGTTGATAGCTGTTGTATAAAAAGGAAATCAACAACTTTAAGTGAAACTACAGAGGATACTGCCACTGATGGTGCCAGTCCTGAAAAGAAAAAAAAACTTGATGAAAAATGTGCTGAAACAGAAACCAATGGAGATGCAGAAGCTACGGCCTAATGTTTTTTTATGTTCTATTGCAGATTTAATCTATAGATAATTTTAACAGCTAATTGACAAATCAGGACATTTAAAATTTGTTATCCATGCATCGTCATGATAGACGAGCATTAAAAACAAAAAGTTTAATATTGTATTAATGACTTTTGTGTTCAGACATTTATGTGTGTTTATTGCGACCATTTTTATGATTTTAATTGGCAATCATATATATCTACATCATCATAAATTATTATCTTAGATTACTACCATTCATGTTTCCTATGTTTTCCACATTGATGTCCGTACATAACATATATACACTGTGCTAAATTTACAAAAAGATAAAGATACAAATAATCTTATAAATAATATATTTCTGATACATAAAAATAGATGATGTGTGATATGGTGCTTGAAAAAGATATTTATGGAAAGTATTCCATAAATAATTCTCATTTTTTCTGATACATAAACATAATTATATATTAAAATTTATTAAATATCAATGAAAGAAATAATATTTGTTTGCAAATCAAAATACATTCCTAAAATAATTTAAAACTCATCCAGTGTTTATTTTCTGACAAAAAATATGAAATGAATTTTATTTGTAAACTATGATAAATATTTGTTTTCTAATATAATCTATATATATGTATTAAATTATATGAATTACATATTATTTAATTTTCAAAAGTAAAAAAACAATTACAAAATTTATTAAATGTATAATCATATTAACAAACTGACAGTTTAAAAGTTGCAAACAGTTTCGCAATTTTTTTTTAAATAATAAATTTCAAAATAATAACTCATTTCAATTAGTTTATTATATATATTTTTATTCTAAAAATTCTAAAAATAATTTACAAAGGTTAAAGGATTTTTTTATTATTAAATTATTTAAATATCAAATAATTTTTTATTTTATTTAACATATTTAAATAAAATTTAAATTTTGATATTCTAATTTCAACTTTCAATATGTACTATAATTTTCTTATAATAAATAGAAGGAAATACAAATATCGTAATTTAGTTAAAAACTCATGTAACTCATAATAAAAAAATTTGGTTT